TAACTGGAGGTAGGATTCTCATAGACTTTCCTGCCCAGGCTGGCTTTAAACCTCAGTCATCCAATCTCAGCTTGCTCAGTAGTTAGGCTTATAGGTATGAGCCACTGGTGCCTGGCCTTTTTATTAGTGGAGGGGGGGAGGGTTGGTGGGAGACATAACATTTTTCTTGTAGAGACCTTCCATAAGCCTAAATTGAGTATGTTTAATGAAGGGAGAGCTCCTAGCTGTGTAAAATCGTTCTGAGTCCTTTAAGTAACCACTGTCATTACTGTAAAAGTATTTACTGAAAGCTGAGCTGGATGTCCATTGTACAATCAGATCTGGCAAGTGCCCAAAAACGGCACTGCAGATTACACATTAAGGCACTAATTGCCCAAATGAAGCTCCGGGGGCACCTTTGGTTGATGCCGTGGAGTGGCTCAAGGAAGGAAATAATTAGTCACAATTACAGCTCAACTAGCTCAACACACAAGGAAAGGATGTATGCAGCCTGTTTCATGGAGAAGGAGCCTTAGTAAGAGCTTAAGAAATGCAAAAGATAAACATGGCTTCAAAATACGAGACAAATCTCCTTGTGAAGTTACAAAAGTGACTTTATTTAAGTTACGTTCTGTTCCTATGCACTACATAGCCAAATGACATTAAGACAATTACATCATGACGTTGCACTGTAACAAATCAATTTCCAGCCCTCTCCTTGGCCACCATGGAGGTTTTGCCGGCATTGGACACACAGACACAATGAGTATATAAAGCTTGGAGCTTCAACCCCAATAAAAATGTTCATTAAAGAAGCAGAGCAAGGTGAACGAATGAAGAAAGAAGTAAACTTAATCCACTAGACCCAATGCAGGCCAGACTCATGCCTTATAATCCCAGCCCTCGGGAGGCTGAGGCAGGAGATGGAGAGTTCAAAGCCAGCCTGGAATACATAGCAAGAACCTAGATCAGAAAAAAAAAAATCAGAAAACATGTAAGTGACTGTTACTTTACGTGACCAAGAAATCAAATTGTCCCAAGTTACATAATCCTGTCAAGGTCTGCTGGCTGAAAGTATATTCTAGGACCGGGTGTGGAGAGCCACCTCTGTGACCCCTAAATGAACAGAAGGTCGCCATCTTTATCAGTGAATGATTTGGGAAGGGGGAGTGAGAGTGAACGAAGATTTGGACAGCTGGCACGAAGCTGATGAAGAACGCTGCTGGAATCTAACTGCAAATATCATGGCAGGTCTGGTCAAGACTATTCACATTTTCTTATCATGTTTCCAAATAGACAAGAAAAGACATCACTTAGGCTCTGCCTTTGGACACACTCACTAATAACTGCTGTTTTGCTCCTTTGTGGTTCGCTAACTTGAGGTTCGTATAGAACCCTATCCTGAATTGCTGGAGTCTTCCCCCAAAGGCCAACTGTTTGAAGAGCATTGTCACTTTCAGGCTTCATTGGAGACTGTGAGTTCAATTCTGAATGTACTGTCTAAGGACAAATGAAAATCATACACACATTTGTCTTACCTCGTCATTACTAAGTACTGCTGACAAGTTTCATAATAATGAATCGTGTATGTGCGCCATTAAGTAAATACAGCATTCCTATTGATCAGGTATTTGCCATGAAAATTGGATTAGAGAGTAAAATAAACTACAGAATGGTATTCCTTATAGTAGAGAAATAAAGATTAGTAAAGCCCCACTGCAGAGATACAAATTAAGAGGTATAAAGATCTTTAGATCTTTATATTCTCTCTCTCTCTCTCTTTCTCTCTCTCTCTCCTCTCTCTCACCAGTCCTGGGGCTTGAACTCAGGGCCTAGGCACCGTCCCTGAGCCTCTTTGTGCTCAAGGCTAGCGCTTTACCACTTGAGCCACAGTGCCACTTCTGGCTTTTTCTATGTATGTGGTACTGAGGAATTGAACCCAGGGCTTCATGCATGCTAAGCAAGCACTTTACCACTAAGCAACATTCTCAGACCTGTTTTCTCTTTTTTAATACCAGATATTATAAAATAGCACATTGTCGGAACTTAGATTTCCTTTGTCCAGAGTAAGGAAGTTTCCAGTTTGTCCCAAACCCTTCCAAAATAGGGATTGAGAGAAAAGGAAACAAAATAATTGCTTAGAGCAGGCCTGTTTCCCTAACCTTCCTAGGGGAAAAAAGCTGTGCCTGTTGAACAAGACACCATAAGAATTGTTACAACTCCTTAAATTAACTGGGAATGAGATGAATAAGAAAAACCTACAATTGTAAGTAACAGACTTCATTGTATCCAGAATCTTCATACTAGGAATTCTGTGCTAAAAGCAAAATCCAACCAAACCCACCACATAGTAAGAAAAGTGTAATAGTTTTCTGAAATGTCATTATCTTAGTTGGGGTTCATGTTTCCTTTCGACCAGACCATCACCAAATAGCTGTTATTCAAGCAGCCACCTGGGTTAAGAATACATGTAGTATGTGAAAATGGAGCCAGGTAACTAGAAGGGATGGGTGGGGATGGGAGAGACACGGGAGAACAATGGAAGGGGTGACAGGGACCAAGATGTATTGTACTCATAAACTGACACATTGAATTGAAATCCCTTTGTGCAACTACTTAAAAAAAAAGAATGCATACGGTACTTGAATGTTTATCAGCAGTTTCTCAATGAATTCTATAGAAGAAGTTAGTTGTTTCTGGTTTTTGTTTTTTGTTTTTTTTTTGTTTTTGGCAAGAGCACTTGTAAAATACTGAATTTGATTAAATAAATACCCCTGTACACTGAGTTGACCAGTGAAAGAACTGTAGAGAAGTCAGTATTTCATTTACCTGAGTTTCCATTTGAAGGCTGAATATTATTTGAATGCTTTTTGCTTAAGAATGTGAACAAAAGCTTATAATATTTTAAAAAAAGGGGGACCAGTCAGAAAATTTAGGCTCAAAATTAAGCTTGAGACCTTTTAAAGTTTTATAAAATCTAATAGAAAGATATATGATTTTTCCCCCCTCTTAAAGCATAAAGTTGTAGAACTGTACTGATTTATTGGTTGCTATTTACAACTTAAGTTGGGGGAAAGCTGCAAAAAGCATTAGGCAAACAAATGAAATTATTTTGGAAGTTTGATCAAGTGATAAAATTGAATTATTAGTGATTTATTTTAGCCATGAAGCCATATGGGATTCTCACTGAATATAAGATAAAAATGTTTCAACATAAATATGATTATTAATCATATTTTTGAAGGGTGACCTAGAAAATACAAATTTTAATCCAGGAAAGTGCACCTAGTGTTTTACCCTCAGTTGTGTAAACCACACCTCCATTTCCAGCTTTTTGCTAGTTAATTGGATATAAAAGTCTCACAGACTTTTCCTGCCCAGGCTGGCTTCAAATCGTGATCCTCAGGTCTGTCTCCTGAGTAGGTAGGATTTTGTAGGCTTGAGCCACCAGTGCCTGGCTCAATACTCTTGAATTGAATGTTTTATGATTAAGAACTGTACTTGTGTTACTAATTCAAAATATTATTATATTGATTCCAGGTCTAAATAAAAACCGCTTAGCAAAAATAACCCTTGTGAAATTTAATAAGTCAGAAAAGCTAAAGCACTTGCTCTACACAATTCCTCTTTCCTTGATCCTTCCCCCTATGGTCTATTTTCTCTTTCTCTCTCTTTGTAGTACTGGGGACTGAACTCTGGGCTTTAAGCATGCTAGGCAAGGGCTCTACCACTAAGCTATAACTCCAAGCTCCATGCTGTGTTTTGTAATTTCAAATCTAAGTGAGGTCCACATGGACATGTGAACAGTCCTCACTTTTTCCTTTTGGGAGACAATGTAAAAAGTAGCATTGGGCAAATCCACCAGTATCAAAAAGTTCCAATGTTCCAAGATCAATTGGTGAAAACTTTAGCTCAAGTCCCCACACTTTAATACAGTATAAAGGTAAATAAAAGCTTGGCTGACCATCAGGCAAAAATTATTGCCAAGTGCTTCACTTAGCCATTTAGTAACACCTTTAAAAAAAGTTACAGGACCACTGTAGAGGAGATACATATTTTAAGCCAGAAAGCAGATAGAATTCCGTGCTTACCAGCAGGAGCATTCAGAGCAAGGTCAGGCTTGCAGAAATCGGTTCATAGATATATGTATATAAGTGGATTATTTTGTGCATCAGGCAGAATTTGAATAGATTACCATTGCCACCAGGGCCAAGGAAGGGAAAGGGCCTAAAAATCACACCCAGTCTTTAAGAGAGTACTTTAGTAGTGAAATCTTTTTTCCCCCATCTGATATATATTCACATATTAAGATATCAAAACTGATTAAATTACTATAAAAAAAAAAACAGGCTTCTAAGTCGATGATTTTAAATTTAATTATCTACTAGAATATTAAAACAAATCTAATTTCTCCAAGGCCACCAGTACTACATAGCAGTATGGAGATTAAAGAAGAGGGGAGTGGGCTTCTCTGTTTATAGTTTCTAAATAGTATTTTCAGGATGTTGGCCAGTTCAAGCGTGTCAAGCACTGAGCACTATTCTCTTCATCCACTTACAAAGTACTTGGAGAAAAACAATTACAACTGCCAAGTGTGTGAAAGATTACAACGTGGGGTTGGACAGTGGAGTTGGGGAGAAAATGAAACACTCAGTAATGGGCAACAATGGACTTGGGTGAATTTACACTCTAGACAAGAGTTTTCTGTAGAAGGAAGGACCTGGCCAATGAAGAAGGCGGCTGGTATTCGACAATCGTGTACAGACAATGGAAATCAAATGGAGGACCCTGTACAGGTGTGTGTAAACAAGCTAAAAATGGCCTTGGCAAAATACCTTCTTCCATTTAAAATTTGCCAAGATGCAAGTAATCTATAATTCCCTCCCTTTCCATGAAAATGAACTGAGAAAATAAAAAAAAAACAAATTAAAAAAACCTCTCAAAACAGAATCGTCTGTCTCTTCTATCAGTACAAAACAAACCTATACATGAGGTTCCAAGACAAATAAAACTTTAAAATATTAATATTGAAAAAATACAATAGAATTTTTATTTAAAAAATACAGACTCCTTACTCTCAATCTTTGTGTACATTTTGTTTGGTGTGAAAAAGAAAAAAAAAAGAAAAATAATAAAATAGGAAAGGCATTAAGACTACCTAATTCTTTATACTGTATTTGGTAGAAGCACGTTATCAGTCAAACTTGGATGAAAAATAAGTTATTCTGCTTTCATTTGTTCCCGGATATCAGAAGGCAGGGTTTCAAACAGAGTGTCTTCTACAACCAGCCCAGCCCGCTTCAGAGCCCGGCAATCTCCTAGTTCAGGGGGGAGAATTTCCAAATGATTGCCTTTGACATCTAAGTAGGAAAGAAAGAGTAAATTTCCAATTTTTGGTGAGAGTACCGACAGGCTGTTTTTCCCAATCTTCAGAGTTTTCAGTTTCTTGCAGAAGTACAGTTCGTCTGGAAGGCTTTCCACTTTGTTACAAGTGATGGAGAAATACTGTAAACTTTGGAGCACTCCGATCTCCGGGGGAATGAATCGGATGTCATTGTAGGATAAATCCAAGTATCGGATTTTGTTGCACAGGAAGAGGTGGGAAGGAAGCACCTCGATTTTATTGTGACTGAAGGACAGCCGTTCCAGGCTGGTGAGTTTCTTTATATGCTCTGGGATATAGGCGATACTGTTATGCCACAGTTTGAGCACGGTCAGTTTCCTCAAGTGCTGGAAGCTCACGATTTCTTCGATAGATTTCAGGTTGTTTTCTTTCAGGTCCAGTTCCTGGAGGCTGAGCAGGCTGAAGACGGCATGCGGGATGCGCTCCAGGTCGCAGTGGACCAGCTCCAGCTCGGTGAGGTTGGTCATCTTCTTCAGGTTGTTGAGCATCACGAGCTTGGTGCCGTCGTTGTGGATGGACATCTTCTGGAGATGGCTGGAGACATCCACCACCGCCTGAGGGATTTTGGCCACGTTGCTTTTGATGGAGAGGATTTTAAGGCTTTTGAGATCCCGCAGAGATTCGAGGGTGACGTTTTTGGAAATGTCGTGACTCAGCGAGCCAACCAGGTAGAGCTCCTCCAGATTGCGCAGCCCATACATCCACGGGGGCAGTTCACGCATGTCATCGAACTTGACGCTCAAGACCTTGAGGTTGTCCTTGAGGAAGGAGAGGGCTGCGCTGTGGATCTTGACCGAGCACTGGTGCAGGGAGAGCTCCTGGAGATTGTCCAGCTGGGCCATGGTGGCGGGGATCATGACGTTCTTAATGATCTCGAGCTTCAGTGACTGCAGCTCTGTGATTTCGAACACAGTGTCGGGCAGACCTGAGAGCATGATGAGGGGCAATTCCAGTCGGTTGTGCGCATTGGTCTGCAGCTTCTGCCTCAGTTTGTCAGGCGTCCACTCGTTATTTAAGTTCAGCTGCTTGAGTTTGTTTTCACTGACTTCGGACAGGAACACCGCGAACCGCTTGGAATACAGGGGGTCGTACTGGTCTATCATGTGAAGCATAAAAGCAAAGTCATTTTTCACGTCGGGAATGTCATCGATCCCGGTCTCCTGCCGGACATACTCGAAAGAATATTCCCTCAGGGAACGGTAGAAGAGCCAGTACAGGGTATAAAGGCACGTCAAGCCGTAGATACTCACGAAGCACAGGTAGCAGAAAGAGAGTTTGGAGAACAGATGTGCCATGGTATGATTGCAAGAAAAGTTTTTGTAGCCAGTCATGTCTTGAATGTCAACGTTACAATCCACTGTAAACTGGACTTTGGAAACGAGGGCGCTATTATAGGCGATGATGATGAGGAATTTGATAACCTTAAGGATGGTCTGGCGGACGTACATGGCATACAGAATATCACCTTCTTCCACGTGCAGCCGGAACTTCTTCACTTTCTCAAACAAGGCTTTGGCTTGCTCACCTTCCTTCTTATCCAGGGCGCCTGCCGTGGACTTGTCTACCACAAACTTCTCAGGGATTGACTTGAGAGACTGGGAATTGACGAGGCTGCCTTCGGGACCGGACTGGATGGTGTTGGACCTGTTCAGGTTGTTCTTCCTGTTGTCTTTTTCTTCGGAATCCTCTCCAGACACTTCGGACAAGGCCCGGGTGGTCCAGGGAGAATCGAAACACTTCCCCAGGATGGAAATGAAGTGTTCGATTTTGGAGCTTGAGCCAGGGAATTTGAACCAAAAGTTGCTGCACAACATGAAGACCAGCGTGTGGATGAGCACGAGGTATGGGAAGTACTTGGCATACCAGTGCAGGGCCCGCTCGTAACACATCTGGTTGATGAAACTGTACTGCTGCAGGTCCAAATCTGTCTTCAGTCCTTTCATCTCCACAGTGGCGGGGTTGGCAGGGGAGGGCTTAGGTGGGGGCAGAGGGGTGGCACTGGTGACGGACTGGGAGACATTGGAAACAGAGGAGTGGTTCTGAGCAGGCTGCACCCTTTTGGGGAGGCAGATTATCTTGTCTTGCATGACCTGAAACACAGAAATGATATTTTACAAATTACATTACTCAAAGAGCTTTCCTAATGTCATTAGTGGCAATGAAGCCACAATCACACCCAATAAATGTCCATTTCCTCTGCCTGGAGAATATAAAGTTCAATTCCAGCGCCAAGATTTTTTTCTTAGCTCCTATGTTGGAAAAGATAGAGCATCTGACTTTGTTCAGTCATGATGTCTAAAAGTTATGACATAAAACATGGTCTTGTCAGGACACAGAATAAGTCACGATAAGGAAAATTTCTGGAGACATTCACTGTTTTTAAAATTTCCCCCCCCTCATTTCTTCTCTCACTGGAGCCTGGGAGAATCCATTTAGAGGTAGGAATCACATCCTCTACCAGATCAGTCAGTCTTGAATTGGACAGTTCCCTACTTTACATAGAACAGTATGTGGACAGCACATGGATGGAAAAGAAAAGAGAGTGAAAGACAGTGAGCCCACAGATCCACTTCTGGCTTTTTGCTCGTTTATTGGAAACAAGAGTCTGACAGGCTTTCCTGCTCAGGCTGGCTTTGAGCCACAATCTTCAGATCTCAGCTTCCTGAGTGGCTGGGATTATAGGCTTGAGCTACTGCTCTCTGTCTATTCATATACTGGATAAGATGCATAGGCCTATCTGAATGGTTTTAATATAATGTCAGGTTTCCTAAGTGTTTAGAAAAACAACTCCTTCAGAGAATAACAAAAGAATATAGGAGTGTTCAGTAGTAAAATAATTAAATTGCATGCTTTTTAAAAATATGAAATATTATGAACCTCTTTCCCTCTATCAATGCCATCACTTGTTGCAGAGAATGGTTATGCTTGAAGAGTGTCCAGACAGCTCCCAAGACTGAAGTTTAGGAAAGACAGAATGTGCTTATTTTGAAGAGGATGTAGGATGAGACAAGATGAGGCAGGATAGACCATGAATCAGGTAAATAATCCTGTGGAGCATCCCAAGTAAGAGGGATAATTGGAATAATATATAACACATACAGAGTTCAAAGAAAGAATAACAAGAGTACACAACAATGACTTGCATCCAATGGCTGGAGATCCATTAGGTGGATATACAAGATCACGCGATACTGACATAGCAAAGTCCTGAGCATTGATGGTGGAGGCAAGCAACTGAGCCACTGCTATAGCACAGTATGCTTCTCCTTCAGTGCCTGGGCGCTGTCCCTGAGCTTTGATCCTCAAGTCTAGTGCTCTACCACTTCAAGCCACAGCTCCACTTCTGGTTTTCTCTGATGGTTAATTGAACATGAGAGTCTCACAGCCTTTCCTGACTGGCTGGCTTCAAACCATGATCCTCAGATCTCAGCCTCCTAAGTATAGCTAGGAGTACAGGCATCAGCCACCAATGTCCAGCTTTACACTTTCATTGTATGATACATCTTAGTGGTGGTCACTTGGGTCTCAGCCTTTTTTTTTTGGAGGAGTTGCTTCACTAAATCCCAACAAACCAAATGGAATCCAAATGGAGTCCCTCCTGCTAGGTGCTACATAATCTAACTGCACCTGACGAAGTAGACAAGGGTTGCAGGGGAAAGCAGGACCCACCTATAACAAAAGTCCTACTTTTGTGTGTGTGAGACTCCAAGGGGCTGAGGTTAACAAAGACAGAGCAAAATCAACAAGCTTAGGTGTCAGCTTCTCTGGTACAACAAGGCCTCCAGGCTGGGTGGACCATATCTGCAGTGCGGGCTCTCACTGTGGAGTTTCTATTCTTTGTCAGTAGTTGTCCAAGGGATGCCAAGGACCAAGAAGCTCTTCAAAGTCCAAGACGTAGCACCCTCTAAATCAGCAAATACCATGAGGACTCAATTGCTTGTCCTTGACCATAAACTTTATGACCATCTCCATCTAGAAAAATTGCCTGATAATACCTTTATTAGGGATATCTTCCCTCTCCTGTAAGTTAAAGAATTTCCCCTTTCAATTAAAGAACTGCCCCTTTAGGGTGTCGATCCTTTCTCTCCAGCATGTTTGCTTCCAAACCTCCAACTGTCTTTTAGCAGTGGTTTTTATAAAGATTTTGGACACCTGTTATTAATTTGTTTTGACTACCAAAATTCTGGTTTAGCTACTATTTATTTGTTGACTTAGGGCAGATCAAGTAGGTGATATTCTAATTTATACACTGGCATCTTTATATTTTATTTCATTTTATTTTATGCACCAGTCCTGGGGCTTGAACTCAGGGCCTGGGCACTGTCCCTGAGCTTCTTTTGCTCAAGGCTAGCATTCTACCACTTGAGCTACAATGCCACTTCTGGCTTTCTTGTTGAGGTGGTACTGAGGAATGGAACCCAGGGCTTTATACATGCTAAGCAAGCACTCTACTACTAAGCCACCTTCCCAGCCTTGTATTTTATTTTTCAAGGCAGGATTGAGATTAGACTCAGAGCCTGGGGTTTTTGAGGCAGGCCCTGTATGGGCTGGAGCCACACCCTCCAGCCCAGGACTCCAGATTTTACTTACACCTTTCTTGTGGAATTTCATGTGGATGCCAGACAGATATTTAAAGTTTGTGCTTCTCTTCTTGAGCTGTCGAAGGGCTCGTTTTCTTTCCTCTAAAAACAGATCAGATGGGTCTTTCACCTGCGAACTCTTTTGCTGTGCAAAGAAATCCCTTTCAAAGATTTATTTTTAACACAGAGGGTAGAGCTCCACACCCTTCCTCCATCGGTCCAGTATCTACTGTTCCAGATTGTGTCTGCAACTCACACACGGAGGACAGATACACAGTGGAGCCATCTGTGCATCCAGTGTTCACTTTCATAGTCTGTCTGTGAGATTTTCACATGTTGGCACCTGAGATCTACCTTGTCCTGAATGTCATATGGTTACACAGCCTTGAAGATGTGCAAGAAAGTGTTTGCTATTTTTAAAAAAGTGCCATCTCATGGACATCTGGAAAAAGAGCACAGAAAACAGAGAAAGACACAGAACAAAATACAGGTTGGGGCTGGGGATTCACTGCCAAGATCGGCACCAAGAATGTCTCGGGGGATTGAGATGCTTCTGTTTCCCAGGAGTGGCTGCAAGAATGGAAGTATGTCTTCAAACACAAAGATGCGCCTTATTTAGATGAAGGGTGCACATTCACCATTCATGCAAGACATAACACAGAACTTTCCAGTCAATCATCCCTGAGTGTGTGTGTTGTGCTTTGCACACCTTGTCTCTATGCTTGGAGGTGGGTAAACTCCAAACTCTTGCTTAATTCATGACTTATTTTTGGCCATTCAGTACATTTATGAGTTCTATCAGCTGATATTTTAAAATGCCTGTCTTTTGTTTCTTTTTGGTTTTGGTGCTGCAGTAGAACCCAGGCCCTGGTGCAAGCCAGGGACCTGCTTTACCACTGAATTGCATTCTCTATTTCTACAATTTCTATTTCTTCCCTATCTTCTCTTGAGTCATATCTAGCTGCCTCTTTGGTTATAACTTGATCTTTCTGCACACTCTACAGTGTCCTCATGCTAAATTCATTGCCAACTTATTTTCAAAGCTTGATTTCAGCTTGTGAATCTGTGTTCCAATTGCTACATTTGACAACAGCCTTTCTGTACCATGGTTTTCTTCCCGTGCACGGGGTGACAGGCACCCACTGAGTGGGAGTCGTTCTTGTGTGTGCTCTTTTGGCTCCCACAGCCAGGCAGGTCTCTCAGTTCCACGGGGTGTCAGGATCCCAGTCAGCCAGGGGGACTGTGGGGACACCTCAGGATGGTTTTCTCTGAAGTCCCAGCTCCAGCATCCAGTTGGCTGCAGCCCAGGCTGCTGTCTCTTACCTTGCTTGTTGCATCTATAGAGCCCTTACTAGCATGAGCTGGGCTTCTGGCTGCTACCACTTCCTTTTAGTTGGCAGCCTGATAATTCAGTCAACCCCACTCAACGGTGCACCTGTGCTCCACAGAAATACTTGTCTGGCTTTTGAGTCCCTGCATGTGTTTTTGCCATCTTTTCTTTTCTTTTTCTTTTTTGCCAGTCCTGGGGCTTGAACTTGAGGCCTGGGTGTTGTCCTTGAGCTTCTTTGTGCTCAAGGCTAGAGCTCTATCACTTGAGACACAATGCCACTTTCAGCTTATCTAAGTAGTTTATTTCCAGACTCAGCTGGCTTTGAACTGGGATCCTCAGAGCTCAGCCTCCAATGTAGCTAGGATTATAGGCGTAAACCACTGGTATGGCTGTATCTCTTCTAATGACTTTATCCATCATGGCTTTATACACGAACAAAGTAGAGTTGCAACACATAAAACTTACTGAATTAACTTTTTTGCAAGTCTGTGTCTATTTTCATACAAAAACAAAACGAATCAAGATAAATTAACATTATGAAGACAGCACTGCTTGAGAAATGTCAAACAAAAACAAGCTTACCAGGAGGGCCAAATTACTCACCCCACCAAAGGCCGAATTTATCTTCACCCTTCTCACCAACATCACATAGAATATTTACTATCCTACATCCTCAACAATAAAGCCTAGGGTTCTTTTTCTATGAGCTATAATCTAAAGATTATGTCGCCAAGTTGGAAAAGCCAGTGCCTAGGATAAAGCAGCCCCCTCAGCAAGCTAACTTGTGATCCAGATGTATTCTTTAGACAAGGGACTACTATTTAATGACAGTGCTTTACCTTGGTAAACAGGTAGAATGGAGCCACAGAAAGGCAGGTGAGCTAATTTCAGGATGAAATGTGACTCACTTCACCCTCCTCCACCCCCCAGATCCAAGTACAGCTCGTGCCAAATGGTTCTGCTCTGAAGCTAAAGCTACAGATGTGCCCCCCCCCTGACAGATATTCTTTCTTTCTTTCTTTTTTTATTTTTTGTCAATCATGGGACTTGAACTCAGGGCTTGGAAGTTGTCCCTGAGCTTTTTCACTCAAGGCTTTACCTCATTGAGCCAGAGCTCCACTTTTGGTTTTCTGTGATTAATTGGTAGCTAGGATTAGAGGTACCCAGCTTCTAACAGATA